TCTAATCAATTGTTGAAGAAAACAATCCAGAAGATTTTATTAAAATCTGTCTCCTCATTTTATTATTTGACTCTAACATTGCTCAATCTACATGCTTAAAATTATATTCTTCTATAATTATGATCTCATTCACAGTTGTATTTTTTATCTTACTTTAGAGTTTTCATTAATTTCATCAGTTTAATATTGTTGTCTATAATAAATTCCAACTAAAAGTATTTTCCTTTTTATAACCATTATCATCAAAGAGATTCCTGTGATCAAAATTGTCTACAATTAGCCAGGTTCCAGTTATTTGCATTATATAAAAATCCTCTGTTTTGAAAAGTGCCCTACAGTCATCCATTATATTTCTTATACTTCTAGCATTACAATAATAACAGTTTAGCCTACCATTAAGACTACCTTGTTCTCACACTATAATCGTCTCAACATTTTATTCTTTCTTCATTATTCTGGCCCTTACCACTATTTAGACCTAGTTTCAAGCTGCCCTTATAGTTGCATTAATAGACCTTTCAAACAAGCCAGCCCCCTACCCTATTCAAATGTAAACCATCCATTTTTGAATAAACTGATTCCAGAAATACAAGCAGCCAACCTCTTTGTCTGTAGATATTAATCTAAGCCTAGCATTCAGGCCTAGTGACCTACTTATAATTTCATCACCACAGTTATTTCTTGGCAGTTATTATGGCCCTTTCTGTTGAATGCCTTTATAAATGCCTTGTACTTAACAATAAGTTTCTCTGACCTACCATTCCTTACATCATTAACCTCTATGTGCACTACAAATACCACATCACTGCTAGCATCCTTTACAATATCACTTGCTCTGTTGGTAATATCTTCCTTGAATTATTGCATGCCACTGGATAGCATAATTAAATTATTTTCTGCCTGCTTATCTCCCAGCCTATCCTATGTAATAACCTCCTTATGTTTTTCATTTCCATCCCTCTTCTAGTTCATCATGAGCTTTGAAAAATCATAGGTTAATTCTAAATACCTAATTAAAGTTGTTGATATTTCTGTTTTATGCACCAGTATAAGCCTATATGTCTTCCATTTCAGTGGACACTCACACAGATATCATAACAAAGTGATATAAGTTTAGTTTAATGATATGTTGCTAGAAGAAAATATGTTTATGAACAAATTCCACATTAAATATAGTTCTGATTTTGTTTCAAAGCAAGCTTTTTCTACATTAGTCCCTATTGGCCTTAGTATTTCTTTGAATGGGCAATGAAATTCACCAAATATGTATGATAATAAAAGGATATTTATAAATAAAAACAAAATGGTTTTGGAACTTTTTAGCTATATTCAATGAAATCTTTGAATTATAAATAAGAAACAAAAAGTAGATTGCTTATAATTTTGGTGTTGTAATGATTTTACTCTTCTGTACAGCAGTGATCGTAAACATAGTAAACTGCATGTGGTGTTTTTTGATGAAAATAGAGATAAATTTATAGTTTTATGATAAGAAAAAATCTAGAAGAAGGTAAAGCACCTTTAATTCTTTCTTTATAAAATTATTACTGTGAAATATTTTGAAATTTCTAAAGTTTAAATTCACAGAGTTATTATGTATACATATACATAATTCATTTTCAGGAGCTATGTTATCCATAGAAAGGTCACCTAAAGTTTGTAGTAAAGTAAAACAAACCATACAATAGATACATTAAATTGATACATCTGGCATCTGGTAGTAATTACACTTTCATAAAACAATGTTTACCTTTTAAGCAAAGAAATAACTTAGTTTGTGTATAGTGTTGTTGTTGTTTTTTGTAATGCTTAATCAGTTGTGTTTTACAAATGTAGTATCAATTTATCTCCTACTATTATGTATGCACTTTATCACTGTATGTTATTTTCTTTCTTTTTTTTCTGTTTGTCATCCATCAATAAACAAAACTTTATGTGCAAAAGGAATTATGAAAAACATTTACAACTTCTACCTTAACACCAACTATATAAAAATATCAATAGCTATATAAAAAAGTGCTATAATGCAGTGATAAAAAATACTAAATATGCACTGACTATTTCAGATAAGTATAAGAAACAGTAGAAAGAATCACCACCGTGGTCTGAGTAGGGAAATCTACCACGGTAATTGTCCATTGTTAAAAACTTGCTGAAATCCACATAAAGATAGCAACTTCAAGCAATGATGAACAATAACGAATTGAGTAACAATATGCAACAGAAAAATCAGGGAACCATTCATGAGTCAGTTTCCAATTATTGCACCAGAAAATGTGTGATTTGTAGTTTCGAACTAGGAAAATACTGGATTTTTTATGGCAGAATGTGAAGGACTTAGAAAATTTCACGGCCAAACAAAATTGAGGAGATCAAATTAAGCTTAAAAGTACTCTCTCAGTTTGTCCAAAATTCCTGTGTGATCCCATGTTCCAGTAGGTATTACTTGCAATGATTTTATGGTGGAATTATAATAGGGATTTGTAGCTTTAGCAAACTATCAGCAGTAGATATCTAGACACATTTCTTTACTTTTTTTTGCAATCACTATTTGTAGATTTTAAATTCTTAGTTTTTGATTATCTTGTATGTTGGCTTTGTTAATTAACAGCAATAGGGAAATATATATATACCTAGAGTGAGACACTACCCCATTAAGCATGTTTAACATTCTACCTCCCTTTTAAAAGAAAATCAAATACCTATATCTATAACATTGCCTGGAATAAAGTTTCATGTCTTTTAAAGTAATTATTTACTCAGCCAGGTGGTTTTGTGACTGGGGTTTAGTGTAAACCTGCATTTAATGCATTTCTAACAACCGTGAAACCACTAATTTTGTTTGTTATCAATATTTGGGTGGTCTTAACTTTTGAAAAGGAAGGTATTGAGTGAATAAGTCTGCTTTTTACAGTGGTTTTTGCCTCAATGTTCTATTAAAGTTTTTAGTAAGTTATTGTGCCATCCCTATTCTCAATAATTATCATGGTACATATAATCTTTGGATTATGAATAAAAAGCAGATTGCTTATAATTTTACTCTTCTGTACACCAGTGATCGTAAACAGAGTGTAGGAGCATATGGTATTTTTAGAATGAAAATAGAGATCAACTTATAGTTTTATGCTAAAAAAGCTTTCTAGAAGGATCAACAAAGTAATAAATGTAACTATTTAAAATTTACAAGGAGAGTAAGCATTTTTGATTCTATCTTTTAAAAATTATTAGAGTGAAACATTTTAAAATTTAAAAGGTTATATTCATAAAGATATTATGTATAAGATAATTAATTTTCAGGAGCTACATAATCAATAGAAAGATTGTTTAAAGTTTATAGTAAAATAAAACAAAATAGACAATAGATGCAATGAATTGATATATCCTGGTATTTGGTAGTAATTACACCTTCATATAATATAGTTTTCCTTTTAAGCAAATAAATAACATAGTTTGTGCATAGTGTTTTTGTTTCTTTTTGTAATGCTTAATCAGTTGTGTTTTACGAAAATAGCA